GTTAATCCCAGTCCATGATTGGGGAGGAGAGGTTCCTCCCTGGCCTTTACTATGTGGGGTGTCACAGGTTTCAGTGCTTTCTCTTTATTTAGATCTAAATGAAGTTGCTGGATCAAATCTAAGGAAGAACTAGAATCAGAAAGATGTCTGTTGCTGGTTTACATATTTACAACTGAAAGAAAGATTTAAATTAGACGAAAAGAGCTATGGGTTTGACGCTGTTAAAAATGAACTGGAAATCCTACCATGCGGTAGTGATGAACATATCATTGCTAAGATCTATAAAACATTATTGAATTTGAATTTGGAAAGTGAATATGTAAAGTACTGTATGATTCCGTGGGCAAGGAAATCAATATAATGTAAAGCTTGAACAATGGGAGAATATGGACGAAAGGTTTAAAATTTACATTAAATAACAATTTAAAAGAAATATTTTATAAGATGATGTATCATTGGTTTTTAACACCAGATAAGTTATCAAGAATGTATAAAGGTTATTTTAAATGTATGCTGGAAATGCAAACGTAAAGAAGGGGCTTTTTATCATTTATGGCGGACATGTGATAAAGAAATATTGGAATAGGATTCATATTCCAATATAGAAGTTTCTTAAAGTGATCCCAAAGATGCTTTTTCACGAGGCAACTGGGCTTTCTTGTTTTTCTTTGAAGACATTTCGCTTCTCATCCAAGAAGCTTCTTCAGCTCTGACTGGATGGTGGGGAATGGAAAGATTTATACTCCTTGCAGACAGCTTGTCATTTGCATTCTTTTAGAGTCACTGAGACCACTTGGAGGTTTATCTATGTCCTCAGGATCATCTGAATAGTGTAAATGTGTGTGGAGCCCTCTTGGAATTGCTGAAAGGACTGTCAATCAGAAGTCAATGCTTTCTTTTCTTTCTTTCTTTTTTCTTTCTTTCTTTCTCTCTCTCTCTCTTTCTTTTTCTTTCTTTCTCTCTCTCTCTCTCTCTCTCCCTTCTCTACACTTTTCTCTTCCTTTTTCCCTCCCCTATTTTTCCTATTGTTAGCTTTTGTATTTTATATTATAGTCTCTATGGGATGAGGTATAATTGGTATTAGACCTGGCAAAGAAGGCATTCTATAATAAGTACCATTAGTTAGGAATCTACATATGAGGGGTCCCAGAAAACGTGCCTTCTCTACTATGATGTTTGCCTATGAAACATACTTTCCTCTGAAGTTAGATTAGCTGCATCCTTCTGAGTATTCTGGAAGTCCTTCAAGACCTGGTTATATTAGCAGGCTTAAGTGGGTATTCTTATTCTCTTTGCCTAGGGTTTATTTTTATAATATTTATCTTTTAATATGTATTCTTATTTTTTACTGTGTTATATAGGCATTGTCTTACTGACTGTTGTACACTGCCTAGAATCACTTTTTATGAGATGGGCAGCTATACAAATGTGATAGACAGATCACTCTCTCTTTCAAATTTTGATTTTTCCCATCCCAATCCCATTAACTATTTTAAGGATTCCTTCCTTTTGTTCCAGAATCAATACCATATAATACATTCATCCGTCTTCCTATTATTTTCTTCTATTTATTGTCATCTGTCTAGAAATACTTTCAGCTGCTGAAAAATGTATGAAACCAGAAAGAAAGGTTAATTACAAGTTTAACAAGAACAGTTAAAAGATTTACAATAATTATCTATCGGAATGTTTAGAGTCAAAAGAAATTGCCTTGATTTTTGTTACTTAATATTGTGTACTATATATATATATATATATATATATATATATATATATATATATATATATATATATATATATATATATATATATGTCCTTTAAAATTCTAAAAATTGGAGGATGACTCCTGGGTAAATTCATGTTCGAAGGGTCACAAGCAGTGAGACCACCAGGAGGAAGCCTGGCTCTCCGACGAGGGGTCCATCAACCGCCATATTGACCTGTGCCCGGCGCACGCCGCCCTACGGACCTGGTCGATGGAGAAACACCCTCCCAGAAGGAAACCATCTAACGCCTCGGGACGTACCTCGACAGGTAGGACGGTGGAAATTACAAGCCCCAAGTGCGCCCGAATGAGGGATAACTGGCCGCC